TTCATCAGACACACTTCCGTCAGAGCTAATACAACTACCGAGGTACGTGAAGTTTTCCACAATGTTCAGTGGTTCTCCTTGAATTGTAAGGGATATGTTCGCAGATGGCACGGTCTGAAGCAGGACTTTGCACTTTGAAGGTGCAAGGCGCATGCCAAATGATGGTATGATGGCTACTGCTTCACAAAGGTATGCTCCGATGGCCGAATAGTCAGGTACATATATGAAAATCCTATCAACAATCTGGGGGTACGTGAAGTTTTCCACAATGTTCAGTGGTTCTCCTTGAATTGTAAGGGATATGTTCGCAGATGGCACGTTCTGAAGCAGGACTTTGCACTTTGAAGGTGCAAGGCGCATGCCAAATGATGGTATGATGGCTACTGCTTCACAAAGGTATGCTCCGATGGCCGAATAGTCAGGTACATATATGAAAGTCCTATCAACAATCTGGGGATGAATAGGGTGAAAAAGCATGAAAAAAAAGACGGCAAACTGAGGCAGGCAAATTAAAGGGAAACACCAGGGACCTGTGTTTATTGCGCCGAGATGAGCGATTTATTGGAGTTCGTTTCGTCGGTGTCCGACACTTCCGACGAGACCGTGCACAGGAGATAAGGACGAGTTTGGGGCCTCCGGAGGACTGGGAAGCGGGTGGGATTTTGTCTTCACAAGGTGAGCCTGAACCAACGTTGGGGGTGGATGTAACAGGTTGGCATCGCTGGATGTCCTTGGAAGCAGCTGATTTAGCAACGGTCTCAACAGTTGCGGCAGCGGCAGCAACAATAGCTGGATCGGCGAACAAGGCACGCGGGAGAGACTGTCGCAACTGGCTCCGAGTATTTGGTGCGGAATCAGCAGCTCTGGGTCTTGTTTGAAGAGAAGAAAAATTATGAATAGATGAGAACAGATGAATCATCCGGTAAGTGGGCGAAATGAGATTGTGAAGACAATGGGCCCAACAAGTCTTTCTTGTAGATAAATGGCCAGCATCTAACACCCACGGGGGACACACTGCTACTGAATCACTATACTTCACAAAAGTTACAGAGAGAGAGAGAGAAAGAGAGTAAATCCTATGGAAATCTACGGTTGGGGCCTTGTATTAAGTGCAATTGTTTGTAGGCTGCACGTGACCGAACGGTTCGGTCTTCAAGTATTAGCAGAGAGGTTGCGAGTTCAAATCTTCATAGATATTCATTTGATGCGCGTAGCTGTACAGTGCTTTTCGGATTATATTGACTTCACTGACAAGAGTAAATGTTAATTTAAAACTCCAAAATATCGTACAATCGAAAAACGACGACAACGACCGAATTCCACAAATCCAGATGACTCAGAGAAAACCACAGTAAATTTGTCTTCCTTTAGACCGAAATACTCCACGAACTTGCATCAGTTCAAGTGTGCTTACATCCCTCTGGGTCGCCCTCATTAGATGTTTAGTCTTGAAGAGAAACATGCGTCTCTTAGAGCATTTACGCAAAACGAAGTGGAAAAAATGTAGCGGCAACCTTAAAAAGAATCATCCGTTGATTTCAGTCTGTTGTCTTTACTAAGAGAGGTGCTTATTTGGGGAACTGATGGAGTTGTTGGCTTCAGGCGGCGGGTGGATGTCCCTCAGGAAAACCATTTAATTTCTGAGGGAAATCTATTGGTTGCTTACGTTACATGGCGTTCTCCCTGTATTTGGGACATCTTGTAGGTTATCAGACAGTGGCCTTTTGTGTTTTGTCACGTCTAGTCGCTGAGTTGGGCTATCGAGTGCCTCCATGTCAGTCGGCCATTGTCACGCACAACAAATGAAATCCTTTTTGTGCCTTTCTCTCACCGAGTGGCGAATGAGGTTGCAAAAACAACGTCAACCCAGTTCACCATCATCACCATGTACCATTTCTCAGAGATACTCGGAGTTTCGGCACGGTATCTCGCGTACCCACTGCCCTCCCCATATTTGTGCCAACATTCATTTCTCTCCACCTAATAAGAACCCCTTTCGGTATCTACGCACCAGATTTCTACTTCACCCAGCTAACATTTTGACTTCCAAATACAAAGTAATTTGTTTATCAGCCCGAACCGACATCTAGAGTAAATATTATTCACGAGATCTTACTGCTGAGCTATGCATTGGAGGCGACCGGCTTACTCGACGGACATGCACAAGCACGTCTTCGGGTATAAACCCCAGAGATATATATACCTACCCCAAATTATAGTAACCGATCACGGCGACGGCCTCCACAAGACCAACAGCTATTTCTAACTATACTATTCTAGCCCGTACAATCTACTGAGTCTCCTCAATTATCGTCCCATTATTCGGTTGCACCTAATTCCACCAGTTTTACTGTCCCCACGTTGCCGAATGTTCTGAGCTACTCACCTCCTGATTAGGAAGGTATACGTCAACCATTTGGCTCCCATCATCACATCATTACGGATATTATTCACGACAATACGTTGTGCTGCAGACTAGCCCTCAACTTTACAAACGAAGTAAACATTCCTCCTCACAATGATTTAATCACATCTACCCATGAGCATTTCACAGAAAGGATTAACCTTAGGAAAACGAGTGAATATATACTCGAGGCACGCTCCGACTGAGTAAATACCCTCACCACTTGCACCGCCACCATAGATAAGATCAGGTATACGTCCGTCAGCTTCAGGGCTGGTAGGCCATCTGCTGCACCGGCTAAAATCGGTCTTCCTGTAGTCATGGGGAAGATGTCAACCGCAACTTGTGTCCACACATTTTTTCACTCACTCCTGGTTGCTAAGATTGAGATAAGTCCCCCAAAATGGGCGAAAGCTGAAACAGTTGCTTAGCATTTTGGAATAGTGCTCGCCCGTGGACTAGTGATGGGCTCGCTTCGCTATCATCATGAGCAGAAACAGCAGCGATAAGTGCGTGTGTCTAAGTGACATGCTCGGCCAGTCAGACGAACACATCCAGATACTGCCGACAATATGCAGTTGTGAGAGTAGAATGCCGACCCCTGAGAGGTCCGGCCCTTTTTCACAGATGTGTCAACAAGAATCACAAAGTACCTCAACAGAAATCTGAAGGCGACTAGATGCCATGAGAAGTGAATGACTATTGGGATTTCGTGTTAGAGGTTGTACAACTTAAATTTATACCCGTCGATATGCTTTAGGAATGCTATCGAGGTGTTTTTGAAACTTTATCGGGACACTTTATTAAAATACCCAGACGTCTCAACGTATAAAGGGCGTTATACTCTTTCTACAGGGTAAGACTGCTCAAAGGGTGATATGGATATGAAATACAACAAAAATCAACAGGTTAACAGAGCCTAGTTAGGGAAGAACATGCGTTCTGTGGGTGTCATTGAACGATGCCCGTGGAAGATTACTTTCAAGACCTGGTAAAGCAAAGCTTCAGGAATAGAGAGTACTTTGAATACCGACCACTGGTTCGTTCCACCTGGAGCACCAGGTCCGTGGTCGACATCAGTTGTCGTTGTATGGTAGATTTTCGGTAGTATACATTGACGCACAGCTGCTCTTAGCACCAGGTCCGTGGTCGACATCAGTTGTCGTTGTATGGTAGATTTTCGGTAGTATACATTGACGCACTAAAAGCTGCTCTTTACGTATTGGGCGAATCCGATTCCAAACACCCCCGACACGCCAACTGTCATTTGCCAGGCACATGGTCCCACCAAGCTTCACCATCCAAGCGTCCCAAACCAGATTAGGTCACGTGGTCCATATTCTACAGGAAAGATTACCTCACAGAGTCCTCTTTGCCCAGACATGTACGGGTAGAGACGACCCACGGGTAGTCAGTCTACAACTTGGCGACGGAGCATGGAAACCTTTGCCATTTAACTGAATCGCGTCGGTAACTGGTTCCCAGGAAGGGGACCTCGAAAGGAGGTAAACCAAGCGTTTGGGTCTGATAGACATGGGTATATCACATAGCTATTGGCAATCCTGCATAAAAGATATCGACTTCACTGCTTAGTTTACTCGGTCCATGTCATATCGGACAAACGGAACTATTCAGCGTTAATGGACCGATCGGGTCATTACTTTAAACTTATTCTAAGACCCCGGGTGGACGACTCCATATAAGCTGGAACCACAGTACACGATTTGCAAATCTGTTGCTGATGGTCGGATTGTACCGATGTCCCATTTAGGCTTGTTGGGTTCCTCCGGAAGTTGTGATGAAGGGAGAAGCCTGACTGTTCTTGACAGTCAATTGCTTAAGACGGCGACTGGCATACGGAGCACCTGACTTAGTCAGCGCAACTTATGGAATGTGATCAGTTTATCTATCGTGGATGAGTTATTTCGTCCGAAAATCATTCGACGTACTTCAGCATTACTGATCCGGTGTTCCCACCGAACTCGGGCAATGCTCTGAAGAAATCGATAGTCAAACACCGAAAGTCCTTTGACGTCCACAACACGCAGCTACCAGGTTTCATACCACAGCATTGTAAACTCGACCTTGACGGACAAATTGATGTCAAGCCTACACCACAGGTGATGCAGGTTCACGAAAGCTGCTATGGTCCCCCCAATCCAGATGGAAATATCTTTCGCGACACCAACGGGACTGATACAGCTACCCAGGTGAACAAATTTGTCTACTACCTTAATCACCTGATCCGGACGCATGACGTTAGGGTTCGAGCCCGCCCAGTCTCGAAGCAGCACTTTACACTTTGTAGGTGTGTAGCGTATGTCAAACAGTGAGGCAGAATTAGTTAGAATATTTAATATTGTTCGCATTACCACGGCGGATATGATGAACAGACAGCGGCTACTGGCGCGTTTACGGGATACTCTCGGAGACGTTGCCAAACGAACAGTGACCATAAACGGGTAACCATTCAACCAGAGATTCGCCACCTCAGTGGCCTGAGACAATAGCAAATCTAGCGGAGCTAGCCGCAGCGGCTTTTACACCAACAGGGGTGTGCAACCAGCAGCGACTGGAAACTCATGGGGAGGTCAGTTCAAAAAGGATGCATGGGTCTTGAATCCTCGCTTCAGGCAGACAACATACATCAATAGAAAGTGACTCCAGTGTGAGCCAAAGCAGTTTGTTGTCCAGCTTGTTTCAGAGTGCTAACGTTAGAGGCTGCCGTATGAACCGGCAATCAGCTTCTTTACTACTGTTTTCGGGAGAGCTCGGGATGCTGCCTGCAATTGGAACCGCACCCTTGGATATTTGAGCTGATCGACTCAACCGGGCAAGAGGAATATCACGTGTATCTTCGGCAGTACCTGAGTTATTCTGGCAGAGTCAAACAAGAAGTCTTCTTGACGAAGACCTCAAGTTGACATGGGGCGTAGGGGAATCTGAGGAACTAGGAGTATTGCATCGCAGATTTATGAAGCTTTTCTCAGTACGGGCGATACGAGTCCATGTAAAGCGAAGTAGAATGGATGATTATCGAGCACTTGGTACGCTTTTCGAAATAACCGGTTGCCGTGGAAACAACCACTCGATAAGTCTCCTAATGCGTTTGAGTTAGACAGTCCCCCCTCAAACCATCTCTTACACCAACACCTCAACATATGCAATTCAATAGTCGTTTTGTCTGACAGCTGCTCTTGGATCTGTCGAGCGCCAGAAGACAGTGTAGGGCCTGGCGACCGAAGGTCACTTCTATATTCTTATCCCTTATGGAGGTACCGTAAACGAGATGGCTATGGTTAGAGCGCGAGTTTACTGACCGGAAGATTCGTGGTTCGAACCCAACCTCTGCTTCTCGAATTCCCCTCTCTAGACTTGAGCAACCTGGCAGTATCCCAGCCATCGTGCATTCTTGGGGTGGCATTGCAGCTAGGCACCGAAAGGGTGTTACAACTAAACGAATATCTTTTTTCACCCTGTGGGCACGTACAGACTTACAGAAAACTTTACAGCACCCACTGGGTTAAGGGCGGATTTTCTTAGTTCACCAGTCCTCTTTAACCTCTTTATTGATACGTTGCTTAAAACTCCACCACCTGTCTGACGAGTACAAAAAAAAAACGATTACCGGTGCTCTCCGTTTTCGCGAGCCGACTGCAACTTTGGAAATATAAACCTTAAAATTAGCAGGTCAGAATAACAGGTTTGAGACCTGTTCTAACTAGTCAGAAAAATCCTCCGGTTTATAAGTTGGGTGACAAGTTGACCCTTTTATGATATGGATCCTGAACCAATGTCAAAACTAAGAAAAGCCTTGTATGTGCTGTGACGAAAATGGCGAAGCTAATGAACAACGACAGCAGCATAATCCAATATTCACTCACTGTTCATGTTGAGAATTAGAAATACCGTCTCCATCAGACAAAATATCTTCTCGCGAAGGGGTTCCAGTGGTGTCTGAATCGTCCCTCGGTAGACACTCCGGAGGCTCTACTCCCAGATTCAAACACACGTTGTAAAGTATTCGACCAAACACTTTCCCATACCTTTCGATATGAATGAAGAAACAGCTCCTTACCTTTCAATAATGCAATTGTGCAAGAATGTTTTCCACGTGGCTCTATCGGGAATACATAGACTAAGGCGGCCCAGATGCTCCGAAATCTATCCATTAGCCAAAAAGTTAAATATAACTACCCAGTCACTAATCCTGTCGTCCAGTTCTAGTTCTGGGTTGGCCAACAGACAGAACTTCCGACATTCCAGGATAAATAAAACCTGCAATTGGACTCTAGGGATGTAACAAGCTATACGGCGAGAACATACTCCCTTACAAGGGCGGCTCGCTGAGTGTTAGGATACTTCTTATTAATTTCGGAGCAAGAGAGCTTAATCGATTCATTTACATATCTCATCAAATCCTGAAACCATGAAGAAGGCAACGTGTCATACAGCTTGGCATTCCGATGACAAGTTGTTGAGAACTGGATAAAGACCGTCAATTTCTTGAGTGACTGGATTTTCTCCGTTCTCGAGAATCGCATCATATGCAGCACGAACTGAAACCAAACCCTGAGAACTCATAGAGAGGGCGGTGGGCGCTCGCCGCACCGTGCAACTGGCAAAGTTCTCGCCGCTCATTGGTAGAAAGGCACGGCATCAGGCATTGGTTAGCCGTACCACCGGTTGCACGATTTCCAGCCTATGCAGTAAAGCATTGTTGCTGATCCACTCATGGCCAGCACGAAAATTGTAAACCCTACAGTACATCCCTTATGTGAGTCACTTGTTACTAGGCCCGCGGGTCCTAACACGTGTGGCGTTTTGTATCTTTGTTTTGCATTCATTATCACGGATTTCACGGATTCACGGATTGATACACAGGATCGAGAATTTGCCCAAGTTTCTCGGGTCGGTTTTGTTCTTGTCGGTCAGTGGCTGTCGTTCATCTGAAAGGCACAAGTGAAAAAAGGGTGTAGCACTGCTCTTTATGTTCTCAGCGCGGGG